AATAAAACCCTTGCCAAAGTTGGGCGTCCATTTGGCTGTGCAGGATGTATAAATACGCAGTCATGTCTGGTCAGAATGGGGACGTTAAATCCTATGCCTAGTGTTGAGAGAATGCCACGCTCTCTACACATTAAGAAACTTGCAACAACTCTTTGAGGGGTTTGTAGGTGGTCTACTGAAAGGCAAAATTTCTGTTCCTACCCAATAAACCCTAATTTTCGAATGCATGGCAATTACAAATTTCCAGACCTTTGTCCTGGACGACCCCTATTACAGGATCTAGCTACCTGTTGTATTTATTGTAAATTTGGTTTTGTCCTGAACATGCATGAACTATTTGCCACTGGACGTTTAGCAAGCAATCAATTATTCAACTAGCTCTAACAGTTAAGGTTTCTTTTAAATGTAGGATTGTCAATATATACTATCAATTGATGTATATATCAATTATCCTCAATCAGAAAGGAATAGATATGAAAATACTGAACAGGTTGTGATGCTTAATAAAGGGCTATGCTGATCCACACGCTGGGCAATGCATATTCTGCCCTGGACCTGCTGGAATTTGTGCCTACAGTTCATTGGATACCTAGCTACGCCCCTGGCACATATATCCATCTGGCAGAGTTCATCTGAAAATTGGCCACATTTTCATTGATAATGATAAATTTACGTGATATCTGTAGTAAAACCTTGAATTCAAAGACTTTTAACATACAATTGAATCATCATCAGTAAAGAAGGCAAGACATCTCGACGTGTTTACAATTGTACTTCAATTAGGATAGCAAATGAACTACTGTTTCTTTGCTGTATAATTGAATGAATAAAATGATCCATATAAAAAATTACTACAAGAATTTTTTCCATTGAAATCCTGTAACTTTAATCTTTGCAATCCCTAGATCCTTTATGATAGAATTGCACCAGATGATGATAAGTCTGCCTGAGGTAAATGATTATCCCTGGAGGCTGTAGTTGTTTTTGTTATAAAATTTTACAGTCATGACAGTGAAATTTTTTGTAGGAGAGACTTATGCATTAATTTTAGGGCTTTTGTTTATTGCGATATCAACAATTTGGAAAATGACCCCAATATCTTGTTCCCATTTTCATTGACTGAAATTTGTATGGATGTTGATCATGATGAGTCATTGTCACTTAACCGTGACCCTTTTTTATGATTATATTGTCATTTTTATACCACCGCAAAAAATTTTGCTGTCGTATATTGGTATCACGTCGTCGTCGTCGTCAGCGTTGTCCGAAGACAATTGGTTTCAAGACAATAACTTTAGGAAATGTAAATAGAAATCTATGAAATTTAAACACAAGGTTTATAACCACAAAAGGAAGGTTGGGATTGAAATTTGGGGGTTATAGTCCTAACAGTTTAGGAATAAGGGGCCAAAAAGGGGCCCAAATAAGCATTTTTCTAGTTTCCAGACAATAACTTTTGGAATGGTGTATGGATCTCTCTGAAATTATACCACAAGTTTCCATACCACAAAGGGATGGTTAGGATTTGCTTTGGGGGGTTATGGCTCAAACCATTTGGAATTAGGGGCAAAAAAGTGAGAAAAAACAAGGGTGTCCTGGTTAATGGACAATTAAAAAAGTACAATGTTATGTTTGGATTACCTCCCTTACACTGCTTTTAAATTATGTATAAAGAAATGTTGTATTGTCTTGAGGTGATTAGCTGTCAATTTATTTTTAGAAGTTACTATTTATAAATGCTGATTAAGGAATATTAATTTTAGCCATGATTATGTATGTCATTTTCTATTTAAAGACTTTTATGATGTATTTAAATAGGTAATTATGGTTGCAAACTCCATTGGAAATTGATTGAGATTATGACCATATCTTGAGGGAAAGAATTTTTTTTTGGAAAAAGGGGGCGTAACAAAGAAATTGTGAGGGGGGAATCTTTTTTTTTTTGCAAAAAAGGGGGGGGGTAAAATTTTTTTTAATTTTTTTTTTTTTTTTTTTTTTTGGGGGGGGGGTCAATTCGCAACAGCATAGTGTATTGTACAAAAGCAAAAAAAAAGGGGGGACAATTTTTTTTTTTTTTTTTAGGTGGGGGGGGTCAATTCACAACAGCATAGTGTATTGCACAAAAGCAAAAATATGAATATAAATTCAAATCATATTATCAAATCTAAGTTCTTTGACTACAGTTAATCTGTGTCATAAACCTATTATGTGTCAAATATTTAATACAATCCAAATTCAGACCTGTATCAAGCGCGAATATTGTGTCCATTTTTGCCCCAACTGTTCAGGGTTGGACCTCTGCGGTCATATCCAGCTGCACTCGGCGAAGCAATTTATAAATTTTCAGAATGTGGTCTGTTCCTTAGCAACTATAAGTAATAGGTCATCAAATTTGGTCTTTAAAAACTGTTCTTTATCTCAATTTTATGCTACAGTCTGTTCAAGTCAACTTTTCAGATTAGAGCGTGCATTCATAAAACTTTACTCAGTACTCACAGTACAAAATTTGTGCTCGAAACATCAGAATCAGCATTTTGATTGGTTTAATTCTGAGGCTGAATACGATGATTTTTATGACAGCAAGCCCTAATTTTACCTCAGTGACTATGCATGTTGGGTCAACAATATTTGGTATTGGGATTGGTTGTGGGAGTAAATGTCTGTCGGACATGTCATATGGTCACAACCTTATTTTCCATCCAGTGGTCAGGTTTATTTTCAGGATAAAGGCTGTTCCTTACAAACATTGTATGATAGGTTGACAAAATTTGGTATATATCATTCATGTTTATGTGCCCAGTCCATGTCATGAACCATGTCACTGGTTCTCTTTAACCAAATATTTTTTTTTTCCTTTAGGAAATTTGATATGAATGTCTCCGTTTTATTTATTCACTTCTTTTCTAGGGCAGTTTAGAATTTGATGTTTTGTATAGACACTTGTCTATTGTTGAAGACTGTTTATTAATCCTTGGATATTTTTGTTATAACTTTTTTTTGTGTAGTTAAATGATGTCACTTTGATAAAACCCCACATCCTATTCATATTGTCCAAAATGTCAAGCTCTGGTGGTCAAAAGAAGTTTTCTTGGTGAAGTTTGTTGAGTACCTTTATATGATAGATCAACAATATTTGGTGTGTAGATTGTGTGTGAGAAAAGATATATCCGTCCATAAGACATCATTAATCAAGGTTAATCGGACTTAAACTGAATTCATTACATATAAATGAACTGTGCACCAGACAGATTTTACTTGATCAGTGAATGGACCTCAGTTTTTGCGTTTGAACAGTTGAGACTTTTTGGTGTGACAGTTTTTGAGCATCAATGATACAAAATTAGAAAAAAAGTTGTCATTTTGTGCCATTCATAATACCAAAGTTCATAATAATTAAAAGTCAAAAACATATCCATATTTATTTCAGTTTATTTTTAAATCTGCATAATAGTTCCTTGTAATATAAAGATAAGGAAATGTGGTATGATTGCGAATGAGACAACTATCCACCATTGTTCAAATGACATTGATTTAAGCAATTAAAGGTCACCATACAGTCTTCAACAATGAGAAAAAGGCATACCATATAGTCAGCTATAATAGGCCTGACATGATAAAATGTGAAACAATGCAAATAAGAAAACTAACAGTCTAATTTATAACAATCCAATTTATGAAAAACAGATATGACAGACATATATATAGAGATAAACATGTAATATATAGGCAGATAGGTTATATAATATTTGTAAAGGCATACAAATTTATTCAAAATTGTGTAAATATGGCATTCTGAAATAAAAAAATGCAAAATATTGATAGTGATAGTTTTGCAAAAATAGAAACTAACATTTTAAGTTATTAAAACTATGTGTATGCGGCTTTTTTCCTTAAATGTCCCTGATCAATTTAATTGATTGATTGATTGGTGGCTTTTGCCACTTTCAGCTATATTGTGCTATTTTGTGGCGATCAGATTTTATTGGAGGAAACTGGAATGCCTCAGAGAGAACCACGACCTTCAATAGAACAACTAACAATCCTAGTCAATCGAGATTGGAGTCGAGCTTACCTGCTGGGTGAAGGATTGAAACTCACAACCTCGTTGTCGAAAGGCTAGTGATACAGTAGTTTGACTACTTATACCTCTCGGCCATTGAGGCCTCACTGATCAACTTAAATATGTAATCAAAAGTATACCTTCATGTTATACATTTAGAGATAAAATGGGGTAGCAATTTCAGATATTTACTCAAAATACCGTGGTTTTTTTTTACATTTCTATCCGTTTGGCAGAAATGTCTAACTTTTTTGTTTCAAAAGTTAAACACAAGCATTTTTTTCTCAAAACTTTTGAAATATCTTGTGATCTAAATTTGTTTTATAGAAAAACATTCATCAGTGATGTTTTCATAAAAAATGGTTCAAATTATCTTCCTACATAATTAAACCTAATGCTATTTAAAAAAAAAGGGGGTCCATGTACTAGTTTTCAAGCCAATGATCAATGGAAAAAAATCTTTCCAGATATCTAACACATTCATGAAAAATGACATTTTTACATAAGCAACTTTATTTTCTCCCCTGTAACTGTATTGTATGTATGCCCTTAAAATAGAATTGATCTGAGCTTGATTCAGGTGACTTAATCATAAATCTAACTAAATTTCACCTGAGCACTCCTGATATTATACCCCATGATAAAAATTTTATAAAATTTATGACATGCAAGAAAACTGGTTAAAGCATATGTAGATATAATATAAGATATGGTGTGATTGTCAATAAGGAAATATTCACTAAAAAACAACGGATGTAAACAACTATAGGTCACTGTAAAGCCTTCAACAATGAGCAAAATCCATACAGTATAGTAAGCTATAAAAGGCTCTGGGATAACAAAATGAAAAACAATTCAATAGAAAAAAATCTTTAAACTAATAACACTAGTAACATATGTTATAAAATATATTATATAAATATCAAAATAATACATTCTGAAAAAGACTTTGTTCAAAAGTAAAAGTCTTTTGCACTTTACACATTTTGTATGGTGTTCCATTCCATAAAACTGATCCTGAATAAACAAAAAACTTTTTCAACAGCACTGTTTTTTTTACTTAGGAATTTTCATATCAAACTACGTTAAGTAACACCTCTCAAAGAATAGGGATCATTATCTGATATTTGTTTAAACTTTTGATCTAGGTAGTGTGGTGCTTCATTATAGAATTGAGTGCTGTTTTTTTATATATATATAAGAAATGAAAGCAACTGACCAACACATTGCATGAAGCATTGTTTGGTGTCAAATTAAAAAACACAGATTTTGATTCTAATGAAAACAATTTTAAAAATAAAAAAATATATGTCATTCACATTTTGAATCAGAAAGTAAAACTTTAAACACAAAACTTGGACAGAAATTGTCAAGTGAAATGAAAGCAGTATCATTCCACATGAAATCAAATATAATACATCATATAGCTGAAATTAGCTTATGAAGATGACGATTTCAAAGTTAATAGATTGTATATATCAATTATCCATATTTCAAGATATATTGTCAACTCATTTTTTCAAATGGATAAAATTTGTTATTTTTAAAAACATAATAGTTTGCACAAAGTACACATGCACTGCAAAAAAAAGTGTTGATTGATGAAGTAGGTAGAGCTAATGATTTGAGATTCTTGGGTTCAGTTGCTTTCATTTATATGAAAAAATTGAATGATTGATTCATCTTTCAGCTAATAAAAGATCATATTTTGTATGGATTAAGCACCTACTGTAAATTATCTGCACCTATTTGAATAGAAGTAAATAATTGTGGTATTTAATTTTATTTTCAACCGTCATTCACCTAAGTTGAGTAAAAAGGGTGGCTGATGGGGATAAAGGAACTGTTGACCTTTTTTATTGTACTTATGATATTTTATTTTGGTATCTTCTTCCTTTTTTGGTACTAAGTATGCCTTGAGTGATTTACCTCAAACTTTTGCAACACGACGGGTGCCACATGTGGAGCAGGATGCTTACCCTTCCAGAGCACCTGAGTCACCCCCAGTTTTTGATGGGGTTTGTGTTGCTCAGTCTTTAGTTTTCTATGTATGTTTTGTGTACTGATGTTGGTCTTTTTCTTTTTTATAGCCATGGTGTTGTCAGTTTATTTTTGACTTATGAGTTTGAATGTCCCTTTGGTATCTTTCGCCTCTCTTTTACCAAATTATTAAGAATGGTCTGAAATGGTCTGAGGCACTGTATACTTGTCACTTTTGTTATTCAAAAGTTTTGTACATTTTAATATTTAAAACACTTAATCAATTTTTCATGTGTGACACAAGAAATCAAGTATGTCCATGAGATTATTTTCTCAAACTTAACCCAATATAAGAAAGGCGATATATGAGGTCTTCTTATTGTTTGATACTTTTCGCCTTTGTTATTTCAGACTGATTTGAGTTTTATTTTAGAAAAATAATCAATATACAACTCTGATCAAAATAAATCAGTCAGGTATTTAGATATGTTCAGTCATTGCATTAGTTCAGTTATGTTGAACTGTAATTGGTAAAATAGTCTATATTTTTCAAATACTTCGCAATTCTTTTTAGGACACAGTAGTTAATGAGAGTGTTGACCTGACATTTATGCTCCATATTATGTTATTTTTCAAGATGAAGTCTGTTTCTCAGTAACTATGCATGAAAGGTTAATATTTATATGTGGAACCTTTGTAATGATCATGTACATCAGAATGTTTCTGAACATAGTGAAAGACATGGTTAAAACCGTTAAAACAGTTTGACTAGTCATGAAAACAAAGTCATTCACAATTTGAGGGTCGAAAATCAGTCTGCATAAAAATTTCTTTAAATTCATATTGGCTTGTGAGGCCTCTTTTCAGGAAAATTTACAGGCCATGGACGTAGGGCTTGTGGTTAATCATGAAAACTTAATTTATAATGAAGTAAGAACAGTGTATAGTATCACTTTAAGGAACATATTGCTGATAATGCAGAAAAATATTTATGAGTACACATGTTATGTTTTTTGTTAATTCCAAATTTTTATTTGTCAGATAAAGCATACATGTTGTTCTTTTGAAAAGGTCTAAATTTACTTTAACATACCATGAAGTTTCATTTGCTTATTTTAAGGTCCAATATCTAATCAGTAAAAATCAAAAACCAGAAAATGTCAGTTCAGATAATTTTCCGTTCTTTGTGTCTGTAAGAGTTTTAATCCACAGTTGTCCATCATCATCTAGGGTTAGCAGCTCTGGTCCTTGTAATCCTACCAAGGTCAAATCCACTATGGTCAGTAAAAGTCCATTTGGCTGAATAATGTGTAGGGAACTTTGATTGAAGTCTGCAACAACAATGTTGTCTTGCTCTGTTACCACTATTGAACAGGGATTAAATGAATTCTTTTCATGATTCATAATTCCGTTTCCTCTGTAATCCCATTGAATGTCACGATTCAAGTTAAGTTTAATAAGTCTTCCGCAGTGAGAATCATCTTTACAGTTGTAATCAATGTAACATATTGTTCCTTTGTTTGAGTTTTCTTTCCCTGTAAAGGTTTCACTTTCATTGTTGAAGGTGGCACAACCAGTAACAGAGCCGTTGATTAGAAATTGATTTCCTGTATTGAAAATGTTTTTTGCTGGTAACTTCTTCCCTTCCAAGGTGAAGACTTCTATGATTGCTTTGTCAGTGCTGTTTTTAACATCATCGAAGCTCATTCCAATAAATAATAGATTTTTTTAAATGTGTATTGACCTTGGCTTATTTTCAGTTAAACCAACTATTTTCTTGATTGTTTCATCTCTTTTATTGCACCTGTAAATACCTGTGGAAGTTATGAACACTAGATCATCTATGTCCATTACTTCAATTTGCCTTATTTCTCCTTTGTCTGCCAAAATTGGTGTTCTTTTAGTGATGTTTAAATTTTCAACACCCTTTTTAGCTTCAACTTGGTTGATACTATCAATGCTTGATGTCCATATTGTCTTACTTTTGTCAATCTTCAAGTCCTTTATGCTAAAATCTGTCTTAAATGCTTGTTGAAATGTAACATCAATTTCATTTGTAGTTGTATTTGGTTCCATTCCAAACACTATTCCTGGTGTATACCGCAGTGTTTTTAAATTATAGCGATTTGAATGAATGGTATCTGTTACCTCTTTCAAATGTTTATTTTCAAATTCTTCTGCTTTTTCAACAAACTTTGTTGTGTCCTTACTTACAGCAATATTGTTAAGATGCTTCTTTTCTTGGTCAATTTTTCCTTGCAGCTTGTAAATTTTGTCTTTCCTAGATGTAAGAAGACTAGAAATTAAATTCCTCTGTCCCCCCAACTTTTTTTTTTCATCATTGTATTTTTGTTCAACTTTTTCCATTGCTTCTTTTTTATCCAGTTCAATTTGACGTAGTATCTCCTCATACTGGAAATGGTCAACTTTTTCCAGTATGTCAAGTTTCTGAAGATATAAAATGGTTTCAGTAGAAACTTCATCGTGAACTTTCAATATTTTATTCAACCGGTCCTTGCAGCCACTATCTATGGTTTTTAAATCGTGATTCTGGTGATTATCCTCAATGCATGTTGGACACACGAGTTTATTACATGAGCTGCAGTACATACAACATATTTGGTCTATGTGGTTGCTACATCTGACTGCCTTGAATTTGCCTCGCTCATTTTTGTCTTCATCATCTGCATTGATATCTTTTATATCTACAAGCTTATGAATTTCTGCATCTTTATATTTTGAATGATTCCTTTTACATGTTTCACACATTAATCTGTCACAATCAATACATTTCACTTTTATTTTTGAATTTGATTCACACACTTCACATTGTTTTATACTCTGGGAACGTCTTACTGAATTTGAGGCAGCCATTTTAAATGAAAAACAAAACTACTATATGATTTTCCACATTATCCCTTCAATACAGTTTTATGATAGTTGACATATATAATGAAATTATTCAACTTGAACACTATGTTGCATACAAAATATGCAATCTGAGTCTGTTTAGAAAAAATAGATGTGAATACAAGGAAATTTTATTTAAAAAAACATAATTTTAAGTTATCAAGGATGAATGTATCAATTACATATGGGAATTCTTAAGAAAAACCTTAGTATGTAATACAATGGACTATTTAAAGACTTTTAAAGTATACTTTATCAAAATAAAATTTAATTTATTGTTGTTGCAATATTTGTACAGTACACTTGGTTATACAATCTTCGTGCGCAATAGCCAATACAAATACACTTTTAAATTACTTTGGAAAATCTGCCATGATTTAACATGATATAATGTATATCATGTATATATTGATAAATATAAAAATTCAAACCATTATCTATTACAATGCATGTACTATATAGTGTGATTGACTAATATGACAGCAAACAATTCATATTTATCTTCTTAACTTTACAAGATATTTAACAAATTGAAATTGTGTGTAATATTACTGTTTAATATTGGCAAAAATTCAATGCATTCCCTGCAAAATAATGTCCCTATATCCGGAAATCTGCAAAAGATACATGTTTTTATAAATGAATTTTGAATCTTATCAGATGCATCTGATATATTAAGATTTTTAAATGGATTTTCAAATGAAAATATTGGTTATTAATGTGGTGATGTACAGCGGGTGGGCGGCTGCCAAACAGTGTCAGGGCAATAACTTGAAAACTTTAAATTTATATATGATGTTTCCTGTGACTGTGAAGGTCAAGTTCGATTTTCACAATTTTAGCGTATTTCGTTGTTGAGTTGTAGACCTTTAATTAGCTAGAAGTGATACTTATAGTGTTATCCGTGTAATAACTTGAAAAATGCATTGGTGAAATCTTTTTAAATTTAGATACCCGGTATGTTGTTTCCTGTGACTAAATGAAGGTCAGGTTTAATTTTCACGATTTTAGCTTTTATCAGTGTTGAGTTGTAGACATTTAAGTAGTGAAAAGTGATACTTACAACATTGTTCACGCAATAACTTGAAAATGTTTTGACAAAATCTTTTCAAATTTAGATATATTATTTCCTATGACTAAATAATGGTCAAGTTGTTTTTCACGATTTTAGCTTTTATCTTTGTTGAGTTATAGACCTTTAAGTAGCGAAAAGTGATACTTAGATTGATTTTGGCTTTTCCATTTCTGAACCCTTCAAAGATTCATTTATTTTTTTTACTTGATCCTGTTTGGGGGTCCAGATTGTAAATATCATTTTCGTGCAGGAAAATCCAGTTTGCTGTCAATCTGACAGCTAGCCTCTTGTCTTCAAGTTATTATAAATATGCACACACAAAAAGTTTGACCTCTCTAACAACTGTTAGAAATTAAAGTGTTAAATAATAGGAATTTTTTTCATCTGTTATGATACTTAGATGATAATATAAGATGGATTTGGTAGGGAAAATGTTAATTTTCTGTATGTTTAGAACTAAAGAGCCTAAATAACAAAAGAATTTTCAAATCATTTCTTAGTTTTTTCGTAATTTGAAACAGGTAGGCAAAGTATACATAATTGGGAATATTTGGGATTTAGATGAAATACTGCTCTGTTGTAACTTACTGTCACTAAGGGAGGGGATGATTTTCTTTTGACAAAAACATAAATGTTCTCAGAACAGAAGATCTACAGCATTTTTAACCAGCAATCAACGGGAAAAGGTAAATATTCATATTGTTTAATTGAATAAAACTCTTTTTTTCAGAACAGAAGAGCTACAGAATTTTTGGAGCAGCAATCAACAGAATCTGGACCATTTTTTATGATGTTATCTACACCTGCATCACATGCACCCTTTACACCAGCACCAAAGTATAAAGATAATTTTGCTGACAAACAAGCTCCAAGAACTCCTAGTTACAATATTCATGGAAAGGTTAATTATTGTTTCTAGACAACCAGAAACCAAATGACTGTTGGGGAGAAACAGCAGCTGTGTTTCACTTCGATATTGATCTTTATAGTACATGTAGTAGTTCCATGTTTTTTCCATTGACAATAATTAAAAAAAAAGTTCAAATAAAATACAGATGAGCTACAGGGCAAATAATTTTATTACTTCTCTCCTGTTAAATTCTTAATGGTTACATCTTCACTTTACTTTCATTTGAAATCCTCAAAAACCAAAAATTCGATATTCAAGGATGTTTAAATATTTTAAAAGCTATATGACCAAAAGAACCTGAAGGAAACCAAAACCATCAATTAAATGTGATCTCTAGAAGTTTTTTTTATATTGGTAACTGGGTTGCTGTCTCATTTATGGATATCGACATAACCTTTTATTAGCTTCCTGGGCCCAAAGGGCCAGTGTGAGCTTTTTCCACCACTTGGCATCTGTCGCCTCTGAAACCACTGAGCCAAATTTAACAAAACATGGCCATAATCATCATCTTGTTTATCTAGTTTTAAAAGTGTGTCAGATGACCCCCCCCCGCCCACTTTTCCAACCAAGTTTTGTCTGTTTTCATGAAAATTGCTGCAGATAGAAAAAATCACTAAGGGCAGAAATTTTCAGCATGATAAGATCTACCTAATTTCTAATTCTAATTTCTTTTTAATTCAAAACTGTTACACAACTTCATAAAGGATTTATTGCCCTTAAATGACAAATTACAATTTTTTTGCTTTTTGTCTATATTTGTCTTGCAAACTGTAATTGATATTTATAAGCAAAAATGATCAGCAAGTCAACAAGGTCGAAAACTTCAGTCGTCGCCTTATTGGAGTTATTGCCCTTTAATGACAGTTATTACCATTTTTTTTTCATTTTTGCATATAATGTTGAAAACTAAAGAAGATAGATAACAACTTTAAAAAAACAAATTATCAGCAAGAGAATTTCTACCAATAAGTCAATATTGCTGAAATTGTGAGGTGACTCCTGACTGGAGTTATTGCCCTTAAATGATGATTTTATTTTCACTAAAATCTGTATTTCAGGACAAACACTGGTTAATTGAACAAGCACTTAACCCTATGCCCAATGATACAGTAACAACTATTGATGACATTTTCAGAAGCAGGTAAATATATGCACGTTGAGGTGTTTTCTTTTTTATGCTGGTATTGTAATGCATTAGTAATCTTCTTTTCTATTTATAAAATATGAAGACTAATATTTTCAGATGGTAAATTTTTCATTTTTGTTTCAGATGGAGAACATTATTGTCTGTAGATGATATGGTAGAAAATGTAGTCAACATTCTGACAGAGAAAGATATGATCAACAACACATTTATATTCTTTACATCTGATAATGGATATCATTTAGGTAATATTTAAACTAAAACATACTGTTTTATAGTTGTTTATAGGATTTAGTTCCTTTGTTACACTATTTATAAAACTGGTATCAACATTAGGTAGACAACAACACTTCAACACAAATTTAATGAAAAGTAGTATGTAGAGACAGCTACATGGAGATCTGTTCTATTGCTTATATTGTAATCCAACTTATTTTCAGGGATACTTTATTTTGCATTTAGCAGATTTGCAGCTGTTTATATTTTTATGGTATTTTGTATCTTTCTTGATGTATTTTTATAAGGGAAGATCTCAGTTTTTATATGTCCGTTTACGGGACGTATTATGGTATACCGTTATCCATCTGTCTGTCTGTCCGTCGTCAACATGTCGGACAATAACTCAAAAATGCTTTAACCAATCTGCATGAAACTTTGGTGAATTGTTTATATTTATTGATGTGAGCTCCCTTTTCGTTTTTTATAAATTTTAGAATTTAAGTTTCCGAGTTATGGGGTTTTATTCATTAAAAAAGGGGGATTTTCCAGTTTTCGGACAATAACTCAAAAATACTTTCACCAATTTGCAAGAAACTTTGATGAAGTGTTTATATCTATTGACATGAGCTCCCTTTCGAATTTTATAAATTTTAGATTTTACGTTTCGGAGTTATGGGGTTTTATTCATTAAAAAAAGGGGATTTTTCAGTTTTCAGACAATAACTCAAAAATGCTTTCAGCAGTTTTCATGAAAGTTTGGTGAATTGTTTATATCTATTGACATAAGCTCCCTTTCTATTTTTATAAATTTTAGATTTTACGTTTCGGAGTTATGAGATTTTATTCATAAAAAGGGGGTGATTTTCCAGTTTTCAGACAATATCTTTAAAGTGCTTTGAGCAGTTTTCATGAAACTTTGGTGACTGGTTTATATCTATTAAGATAACCTCCCTTTAGTTTTACATAAATTTCTGAAATGACATTGAGATGTTATTGAACTTTATTCTTTAAAAAAGCAACAAGCGTATCATGCACCCATGGCGCAGCTAGTCTTGATCTTTTGTTTTGCTCAATTTGTTTACTATTATCAGTAAAATAAAAATAATTCTGAATTTGAAGTTTATAAAAAGCATTGATAAAATCTGAGTGTTTTTTGTTTTGACAATGTAAACATGATAGAATTATCAAAACCAGGTGTGGCATTAAATTCTGTAAAACTTTATGATGTATCCTGTCAAAACCTCAGCAGTGGTTAGTTATAAACAAGCCCAGGTAGCTATGAAACTATTGACATGTCCAAATCTAACAAAGATAAAGAAAATTCATACAACAATATTATGGTACAATATTGTTGTAGAAAAAATCTTAGTGTAACTGAAATACTAAGGTATAACAATTTTAACTATTGTAGGTCAGTTTTCATTGCCTAATGATAAACGACAGTTGTATGAATTTGATAACAGAGTTCCATTTATGGTTCGAGGACCTGGTATAAAACCTGGTTCTACTTATAATGTAAGTATTATAACAAAACTTTACGACAAAAGAGATGATTTCAGCTTCCCAATTGTGAACTTTCCATTTCTATGTAGCAACATTCAAGCAGCTCCTGCATATGGCGTATATATCTCCCAGTTGATACAATATTCCAGGGCTTGTGTTTCCTATCATGATTTCCTTGATAGAGGGTTGATGCTCACAAGGAAGCTATTAAACCAAGAGTTCCAAGTGGTGAAGTTGAAATCATTCCTTCGTAAATTTTACGGACACCATTACGAGTTGGTTGACCGTTATGGAATATACGTTTCACAGATGATAGCAGATACGTTCCAAATATCATCACTACAATCCTGTCCCCTTTTCTCCAAATGTGACCTACCAAATTAGACTTATTACTGGGTTTGTACTAACATGAGCAACACGACGGGTGCCACATGTGGAGCAGGATCTGCTTACCCTTCCGGAGCAAATGAGATCACCCCCAGTTTTGGTGGGGTTCGTGTTGCTCAGTCTTAAGTTTTCTATGTTGTGTTTTGTGTACTTTTGTTTCTCTGTTGGTCTTTTTTTTTTACCCATGGCATTGTCAGTTTATTTTCGACTTATGAGTTTGAATATCCCTTTAGTATCTTTTGCCTCTCTTTTATAATGAATATATAGTTTCAGATAAATTAACAGACAGCAACAACCACTGAATGCCACACATTTTAAATTTGAGTACCGTATATCGGGTATTTTTGGCATGTGTCTAATTTTCGCTTTGTTTGCGGCAGCTAAAGAAACGCGAAAATTTGACCCCGCATAAATTTCACTGCGTATTCCCAGATTTATCATTGTTTAAAAGTTTCATACATTATAAACGTATTCTGTTGATTGTCAAGTCTTCTGTATTGTTCAGTAGATCACAAGAAAGTTTATACTTAATTAAGATCTCAGTTTATATAATAATTAAAATTACTAATCATAAATGGCACACCTTTTGACAACATAGCAATCAGTGACAGGTTAAAAGATGTTAATTGCCGGCGATTTATTGATTGGTGTCATAACACGAACATTTTGCATCTGATTTAAAAATTCAAATCAAAATAAATCACATTTACACAAACATTTGTTTTGCGTGTATTTTCCCATTCAGTGAAAATTATACACAGTGAAAATTTAACCTGCCCATTTTTTCATCAAATTGCGAATAAAAGCTGACGCAAAAAAAACCTGATATACGGTATTTAAAACTGTCTCAGAGAAGAAATATAATATCACAATCAATGCTGCTTTGATGGAATCTTCATCTCTAGTAATTTTTATACGACTGCAAAAAAATTTTGCGATCGTATATTGGTATGACGTTGGCATCGTCGTTGTCGTCGTCGTCGTCGTCGTCCGAAGACACATTGGTTTTTGCACTCTAACTTTAGTTTAAGTGAATGGATCTCTATGAAATTTTACCATAAGGTTCAATACTACAAAAGGAAGGTTGGGATTGATTTTGGGGGTTATGGTACCAACAGTTATGGAATTAGGGGCCAAAAAGGGGCCAAAAATAAGCATTTTTGTAACTTCCAGACATAACTTGTGTGTTAGTGTATGGATCTCTCTGACATTGTACCACAAGGTTCCATATCACACAGGGAATGCTGGGATTGATTTTGGGGGTAATTGCCTCAAAATTTTAGGAATTAGGGCAAAAAAGGGGCAAAATACAAGCATTTTTAAATGGACAAATACTTTAGTACAAAACATAATTTAAAGCAGTGTAAGGGAGATAAATCAAATACATCATTTGAATTATCTCCCTTACACTGCTTTTAAATTATGTATAAAGTAATGGTTAATGAACAATTAAGACAATTTAAAACAGTGTAAGGGAGGTAATCCGCATACAACATTTTGATTACTTCCCTTACACTGCTTTTAAATTATGTTTAAAGAAATGCATATTTATAAAGGAAGACCAGTAAAAATATCTGCAAATGTTGCATCTTTTTTTTTTACAAAAAAATCCATATCAAAGATTTGACACCATATTTTAAATTCTATTATAAAATAGATTAAGTTAGCAATATGGTAAATTTAAATGGGTAATTATGGTTGCAAATTCCATTGGAAATTTGAATTGAGATTATGACCATATCTTCAGGGAAAGAATTTTTTGGGGGAAGAAATTGTGGGGGGTCATTTTTTTCTCATTTCAGATTTCAGAAATTAAAAAGAATTATTCTTCAAATATTTTTTTTTTTTCAAATTTCAAATATTGAAAAATTTCAAGAAGTAATCTTTAATTGCACAGTATGGCGCATTAGATTTGTAAAATTGGTTCATATTGAGGTCAAAAGGGTCCAAAATTAAACTTTGTTTTATTTCATCAAAAATTGAATTATTGGGGTTCTTTGATATGCCAAATCTAACCGTGTATTTAGATTTTTAATTTTTGGGTCCTGTTTTTTAAATTGGTCTACATTAAGGTCCAAAGGGTCCAAAATTAAACTTAGTTTGATTTTAACAAAAATTGAATTCTTGGGGTTCTTTGATATGCTGAATCTAAACATGTGTTTAGATTTTTGATTATGGGCCCAGTTTTCAAGTTGGTCCAAGTTGGGGTCCAAAATTAAACTTTGTTTGATTTTTAACAAAAATTGAATATATGGGGTTCTTTGATATGCTGAATCTAACCATGTATTTAGATTTTTTATTTGTGGGCCCCGCTATCAAATTGGTTCATATTGAGGTCAAAAGGGTCCAAAATTAAACTTTGTTTTATTTCATCAAAAATTGAATTATTGGGGTTCTTTTATATGCCAAATCTAACCGTGTATTTAGATTTTTAATTTTGGGTCCAGTTTTCAAATTGGTCTACATTAAGGTCCAAAGGGTCCAAAATTAAACTTAGTTTGATTTTAACAAAAATTGAATTCTTGGGGTTCTTTGATATGCTGAATCTAAACATGTGTTTAGATTTTTGATTATGGGCCCAGTTTTCAAGTTGGTCCAAGTTGGGATCCAAAATTAAACTTTGTTTGATTTCAACAAAAATTAAATATATGTGGTTCTTTGATATGCTGAATCTAACCATGTATTTAGATTTTTTATTTGTGGGCCCCGCTATCAAATTGGTTCATATTGAGGTCAAAAGGGTCCAAAATTAAACTTTGTTTTATTTCATCAAAAATTGAATTATTGGGGTTCTTTGATATGCCAAATCTAACCGTGTATTTATATTTTTAATTTTGGGTCCAGTTTTCAAATGAGTCTACATTAAGGTCCAAAGGGTCCAAAATTAAACTTAGTTTGATTTTAACAAAAATTGAATTATTGGGGTTCTTTGATATGCTGAATCTAAACATTTGTTTAGATTTTTGATTATCGGCCCAGTTTTCAAGTTGGTCCAAGTTGGGGTCCAAAATTAAACTTTGTTTGATTTTTAACAAAAATTGAATATATGGGGTTCTTTGATATGCTGAATCTAACCATGTATTTAGATTTTTTATTTGTGGGCCCCGCTATCAAATTGGTTCATATTGAGGTCAAAAGGGTCCAAAATTAAACTTTGTTTTATTTCATCAAAAATTGAATTATTGGGGTTCTTTTATATGCCAAATCTAACCGTGTATTTAGATTTTTAATTTTGGGTCCAGTTTTCAAATGAGTCTACATTAAGGTCCAAAGGGTCCAAAATTAAACTTAGTTTGATTTTAACAAAAATTGAATTCTGGGGGTTCTTTGATATGCTGAATCTTAACATGTATTTAGATTTTTGATTTTGGGCCCAGTTTTCAAGTTGGTCCAAATAGGGGTCCAAAATTAAACTTTGTTTGATTTCATCAACAATTGAATATTTGGGGTTCTTTGATATGCTGAATCTAACCATGTATTTAGATTTTTTATGTGTGGGCCCCGCTATCAAATTGGTTCATATTGAGGTCAAAAGGGTCCAAAATTAAACTTTGTTTTATTTCATCAAAAATTGAATTATTGGGGTTCTTTGATATGCCAAATCTAACTGTGTATTTAGATTTTTAATTTTGGGTCCCATTTCTTTAAATTGGTCTACATTAAGGTCCAAAGGGTCCAAAATTAAACTTAGTTTGATTTTAACAAAAATTGAATTCTTGGGGTTCTTTGATATGCTGAATCTAAACATGTGTTTAGATTTTTGTTTATGGGCCCAGTTTTCAAGTTGGTCCAAGTTGGGGTCCAAAATTAAACTTTTTGTTTGATTTCAACAAAAATTGAATATATGGGGTTCTTTGATATGCTGAATCTAACCATGTATTTAGATTTTTTATTTGTGGGCCCCGCTATCAAATTGGTTCATATTGAGGTCAAAAGGGTCCAAAATTAAACTTTGTTTTATTTCATCAAAAATTGAATTATTGGGGTTCTTTGTTATGCCAAATCTAACCGTGTATTTAGATTTTTAATTTTGGGTCCAGTTTTCAAATGAGTCTACATTAAGGTCCAAAGGGTCCAAAATTAAACTTAGTTTGATTTTAACAAAAATTGAATTCTTGGGGTTCTTTGATATGCTGAATCTAAACATGTGTTTAGATTTTTGATTATGGGCCCAGTTTTCAAGTTGGTCCAAGTTGGGGTCCAAAATTAAACTTTGTTTGATTTTTAACAAAAATTGAATATATGGGGTTCTTTGATATGCTGAATCTAACCATGTATTTAGATTTTTTATTTGTGGGCCCCGCTATCAAATTGGTTCATATTGAGGTCAAAAGGGTCCAAAATTAAACTTTGTTTTATTTCATCAAAAATTGAATTATTGGGGTTCTTTTATATGCCAAATCTAACCGTGTATTTAGATTTTTAATTTTGGGTCCAGTTTTCAAATTGGTCTACATTAAGGTCCAAAGGGTCCAAAATTAAACTTAGTTTGATTTTAACAAAAATTGAATTCTTGGGGTTCTTTGATATGCTGAATCTAAACATGTGTTTAGATTTTTGATTATGGGCCCAGTTTTCAAGTTGGTCCAAGTTGGGGTCCAAAATTAAACTTTGTTTGATTTCAACAAAAATTAAATATATGTGGTTCTTTGATATGCTGAATCTAACCATGTATTTAGATTTTTTATTTGTGGGCCCCGCTATCAAATTGGTTCATATTGAGGTCAAAAGGGTCCAAAATTAAACTTTGTTTTATTTCATCAAAAATTGAATTATTGGGGTTCTTTGATATGCCAAATCTAACCGTGTATTTATATTTTTAATTTTGGGTCCAGTTTTCAAATGAGTCTACATTAAGGTCCAAAGGGTCCAAAATTAAACTTTGTTTGATTTTTAACAAAAATTGAATATATGGGGTTCTTTGATATGCTGAATCTAACCATGTATTTAGATTTTTTATTTGTGGGCCCCGCTATCAAATTGGTTCATATTGAGGTCAAAAGGGTCCAAAATTAAACTTTGTTTTATTTCATCAAAAATTGAATTATTGGGGTTCTTTTATATGCCAAATCTAACCGTGTATTTAGATTTTTAATTTTGGGTCCAGTTTTCAAATGAGTCTACATTAAGGTCCAAAGGGTCCAAAATTAAACTTAGTTTGATTTTAACAAAAATTGAATTCTTGGGGTTCTTTGATATGCTGAATCTTCACATGTATTTAGATTTTTGATTTTGGGCCCAGTTTTCAAGTTGGTCCAAATTGGGGTCCAAAATTAAACTTTGTTTGATTTCATCAAAAATTGAATATATGGGGTTCTTTGATATGCTGAATCTAACCATGTATTTAGATTTTTTATTTGTGGGCCCCGCTATCAAATTGGTTCATATTGAGGTCAAAAGGGTCCAAAATTAAACTTTGTTTTATTTCATCAAAAATTGAATTATTGGGGTTCTTTGATATGCCAAATCTAACTGTGTATTTAGATTTTTAATTTTGGGTCCCATTTCTTTAAATTGGTCTACATTTAGGTCCAAAGGGTCCAAAATTAAACTTAGTTTGATTTTAACAAAAATTGAATTCTTGGGGTTCTTTGATATGCTGAATCTAAACATGTGTTTAGATTTTTGATTATCGGCCCAGTTTTCAAGTTGGTCCAAGTTGGGGTCCAAAATTAAACTTTGTTTGATTTTTAACAAAAATTGAATATATGGGGTTCTTTGATATGCTGAATCTAACCATGTATTTAGATTTTTTATTTGTGGGCCCCGCTATCAAATTGGTTCATATTGAGGTCAAAAGGGTCCAAAATTAAACTTTGTTTTATTTCATCAAAAATTGAATTATTGGGGTTCTTTGATATGCCAAATCTAACCGTGTATTTAGATTTTTAATTTTGGGTCCAGTTTTCAAATGAGTCTACATTAAGGTCCAAAGGGTCCAAAATTAAACTTAGTTTGATTTTAACAAAAATTGAATTCTGGGGGTTCTTTGATATGCTGAATCTTAACATGTATTTAGATTTTTGATTTTGGGCCCAGTTTTCAAGTTGGTCCAAATTGGGGTCCAAAATTAAACTTTGTTTGATTTCATCAAAAATTGAATATATGGGGTTCTTTGATATGCTGAATCTAACCATGTATTTAGATTTTTTATTTGTGGGCCCCGCTATCAAATTGGTTCATATTGAGGTCAAAAGGGTCCAAAATTAAACTTTGTTTTATTTCATCAAAAATTGAATTATTGGGGTTCTTTGATATGCCAAATCTAACTGTGTATTTAGATTTTTAATTTTGGGTCCCATTTCTTTAAATTGGTCTACATTAAGGTCCAAAGGGTCCAAAATTAAACTTAGTTTGATTTTAACAAAAATTGAATTCTTGGGGTTCTTTGATATGCTGAATCTAAACATGTGTTTAGATTTTTGTTTATGGGCCCAGTTTTCAAGTTGGTCCAAGTTGGGGTCCAAAATTAAACTTTTTGTTTGATTTCAACAAAAATTGAATATATGGGGTTCTTTGATATGCTGAATCTAACCATGTATTTAGATTTTTTATTTGTGGGCCTCGCTATCAAATTGGTTCTTATTGAGGTCAAAAGTGTCCAAAATTAAACTTTGTTTTATTTAATCAAAAATTGAATTATTGGGGTTATTTGATATGCCAAATCTAACCGTGTATTTAGATTTTTAATTTTGGGTCCAGTTTTCAAATTGGTCTACATTAAGGTCCAAAGGGTCCAAGATTAAACTTAGTTTGATTTTAACAAAAATTGAATTATTGGGGTTCTTTGATATGCTGAATCTAAACATGTGTTTAGATTTTTGATTATCGGCCCAGTTTTCAAGTTGGTCCAAGTTGGGGTCCAAAATTAAACTTTGTTTGATTTTTAACAAAAATTGAATATATGGGGTTCTTTGATATGCTGAATCTAACCATGTATTTAGATTTTTTATTTGTGGGCCCCGCTATCAAATTGGTTCATATTGAGGTCAAAAGGGTCCAAAATTAAACTTTGTTTTATTTCATCAAAAATTGAATTATTGGGGTTCTTTTATATGCCAAATCTAACCGTGTATTTAGATTTTTAATTTTGGGTCCAGTTTTCAAATGAGTCTACATTAAGGTCCAAAGGGTCCAAAATTAAACTTAGTTTGATTTTAACAAAAATTGAATTCTGGGGGTTCTTTGATATGCTGAATCTTAACATGTATTTAGATTTTTGATTTTGGGCCCAGTTTTCAAGTTGGTCCAAATTGGGGTCCAAAATTAAACTTTGTTTGATTTCATCAAAAATTGAATATATGGGGTTCTTTGATATGCTGAATCTAACCATGTATTTAGATTTTTTATTTGTGGGCCCCGCTATCAATTGGTTCATATTGAGGTCAAAAGGGTCCAAAATTAAACTTTGTTTTATTTCATCAAAAATTGAATTATTGGGGTTCTTTGATATGCCAAATCTAACTGTGTATTTAGATTTTTAATTTTGGGTCCCATTTCTTTAAATTGGTCTACATTAAGGTCCAAAGGGTCCAAAATTAAACTTAGTTTGATTTTAACAAAAATTGAATTCTTGGGGTTCTTTGATATGCTGAATCTAAACATGTGTTTAGATTTTTGTTTATGGGCCCAGTTTTCAAGTTGGTCCAAGTTGGGGTCCAAAATTAAACTTTTTGTTTGATTTCAACAAAAATTGAATATATGGGGTTCTTTGATATGCTGAATCTAACCATGTATTTAGATTTTTTATTTGTGGGCCCCGCTATCAAATTGGTTCATATTGAGGTTAAAAGGGTCCAAAATTAAACTTTGTTTTATTTCATCAAAAATTGAATTATTGGGGTTCTTTGTTATGCCAAATCTAACCGTGTATTTAGATTTTTAATTTTGGGTCCAGTTTTCAAATGAGTCTACATTAAGGTCCAAAGGGTCCAAAATTAAACTTAGTTTGATTTTAACAAAAATTGAATTCTTGGGGTTCTTTGATATGCTGAATCTAAACATGTGTTTAGATTTTTGATTATCGGCCCAGTTTTCAAGTTGGTCCAAGTTGGGGTCCAAAATTAAACTTTGTTTGATTTTTAACAAAAATTGAATATATGGGGTTCTTTGATATGCTGAATCTAACCATGTATTTAGATTTTTTATTTGTGGGCCCCACTATCAAATTGGTTCATATTGAGGTCAAAAGGGTCCAAAATTAAACTTTGTTTTATTTCATCAAAAATTGAATTATTGGGGTTCTTTTATATGCCAAATCTAACCGTGTATTTAGATTTTTAATTTTGGGTCCAGTTTTCAAATGAGTCTACATTAAGGTCCAAAGGGTCCAAAATTAAACTTAGTTTGATTTTAACAAAAATTGAATTCTGGGGGTTCTTTGATATGCTGAATCTTCACATGTATTTAGATTTTTGATTTTGGGCCCAGTTTTCAAGTTGGTCCAAATTGGGGTCCAAAATTAAACTTTGTTTGATTTCATCAAAAATTGAATATATGGGGTTCTTTGATATGCTGAATCTAACCATGTATTTAGATTTTTTATTTGTGGGCCCCGCTATCAAATTGGTTCATATTGAGGTCAAAAGGGTCCAAAATTAAACTTTGTTTTATTTCATCAAAAATTGAATTATTGGGGTTCTTTGATATGCCAAATCTAACTGTGTATTTAGATTTTTAATTTTGGGTCCCATTTCTTTAAATTGGTCTACATTAAGGTCCAAAGGGTCCAAAATTAAACTTAGTTTGATTTTAACAAAAATTGAATTCATGGGGTTCTTTGATATGCTGAATCTAAACATGTGTTTAGATTTTTGATTATCGGCCCAGTTTTCAAGTTGGTCCAAGTTGGGGTCCAAAATTAAACTTTGTTTGATTTTTAACAAAAATTTTAATATATGGGGTTCTTTGATATGCTGAATCTAACCATGTATTTAGATTTTTTATTTGTGGGCCCCGCTATCAAATTGGTTCATATTGAGGTCAAAAGGGTCCAAAATTAAACTTTGTTTTATTTCATCAAAAATTGGATTATTGGGGTTCTTTTATATGCCAAATCTAACCGTGTATTTAGATTTTTAATTTTGGGTCCAGTTTTCAAATGAGTCTACATTAAGGTCCAAAGGGTCCAAAATTAAACTTAGTTTGATTTTAACAAAAATTGAATTCTGGGGGTTCTTTGATATGCTGAATCTTAACATGTATTTAGATTTTTGATTTTGGGCCCAGTTTTCAAGTTGGTCCAAATTGGGGTCCAAAATTAAACTTTGTTTGATTTCATCAAAAATTGAATATATGGGGTTCTTTGATATGCTGAATCTAACCATGTATTTAGATTTTTTATTTGTGGGCCCCGCTATCAAATTGGTTCATATTGAGGTCAAAAGGGTCCAAAATTAAACTTTGTTTTATTTCATCAAAAATTGAATTATTGGGGTTCTTTGATATGCCAAATCTAACTGTGTATTTAGATTTTTAATTTTGGGTCCCATTTCTTTAAATTGGTCTACATTAAGGTCCAAAGGGTCCAAAATTAAACTTAGTTTGATTTTAACAAAAATTGAATTCTGGGGGTTCTTTGATATGCTGAATCTAAACATGTGTTTAGATTTTTGTTTATGGGCCCAGTTTTCAAGTTGGTCCAAGTTGGGGTCCAAAATTAAACTTTTTGTTTGATTTCAACAAAAATTGAATATATGGGGTTCTTTGATATGCTGAATCTAACCATGTATTTAGATTTTTTATTTGTGGGCCCCGCTATCAAATTGGTTCTTATTGAGGTCAAAAGTGTCCAAAATTAAACTTTGTTTTATTTAATCAAAAATTGAATTATTGGGGTTTTTTGATATGCCAAATCTAACCGTGTATTTAGATTTTTAATTTTGGGTCCAGTTTTCAAATTGGTCTACATTAAGGTCCAAAGGGTCCAAAATTAAACTTAGTTTGATTTCAACAAATTGAATATATGGGGTTCTTTGATATGCTGAATCTAAACATGTATTTAGATTTTTGATTTTGGGCCCAGTTTTCAAGTTGATCCAAATTGGGGTCCAAAATTAAACTTTGTTTGATTTCAACAAAAATTGAATATATGGGGTTCTTTGATATGCTGAATCTAACCATGTATTTAGATTTTTTATTTGTGGGCCCCGCTATCAAATTGGTTCATATTGAGGTCAAAAGGGTCCAAAATTAAACTTTGTTTTATTTCATCAAAAATTGAATTATTGGGGTTCTTTGATATGCCAAATCTAACTGTGTATTTAGATTTTTAATTTTGGGTCCCGTTTTTTAAATTGGTCTACATTAAGGTCCAAAGGGTCCAAAATTAAACTTAGTTTGATTTTAACAAAAATTAAATTCTTGGGGTTCTTTGATATGCTGAATCTAAACATGTGTTTAGATTTTTTTATTATATGCCCAGTTTTCAAGTTGGTCCAAGTTGGGGTCCAAAATTAAACTTTGTTTGATTTCAACAAAAATTGAATATATGGGGTTCTTTGATATGCTGAATCTAACCATGTATTTTGATTTTTGGGCCCCGTTATCAAATTGGTCCACATTGAGGTCAAAAGGGTCCAAAATTAATCTTTGTTTGATTTCATCAAAAATTGAACTCTTTGGATTCTTTGATATGCTGAATCTAACCATGTATTTAGATTTTGGATATTGGACCATAATAGGTAAATTAAAAAATTTTGAGTTCTTAGACCACATTCATTCTGTGTCAGAAACCTATGCTGTGTCAAATATTTAATCATAATCCAAATTCAGAGCTGTATCAAACTTGAATGTTGTGTCCATACTTGCCCCAACTGTTCAGGGTTCGACCTCTGCGGTCGTATCAAGCTGCGCACAGCAGAGCATTTTATTAAAATTGTGTAGGCAATTTGATCCTTCCAGCTCTGTAAAAAGATCTTGTTCTTTCTATGTGATTTTAGTAATAGCCAAATGATAGGAATTGGAGAAATTTTAAGTTATAATTAATATTTTGACCATGAATAATTGAGATCAAGCGAACCACAAGTTGATTACAAAATTTAAATCAATTGTTCAGGAAAGTATCAATAGACTGAACTTATATATAAATTATTGTTTAGAGGGGCAGCTGAAGCCAGCCTCTAGGTGCAGGATTTTCTCGCTGCATTGAAGACCCATTGATGGCCTTGGGCTGTTTTCTGCTCTTTGGTCGGGTTGTTGTCTCTTTGACACATTCCCCTTTTACATTCTCAATTCTAATAGAATTAGAAAAAATATGAACAACTTGATACTGTGGATAGACATGTTTGTAATACATTAACTCATTTATTCAGTCTCCAGTATCAGCTATTGACTTGGCTCCAACATTTCTAGAGATAGCAGAATCACCTATACCTATAACAATGCAGGGAGAATCATTGCTAAAGATATTGACGACACAAAACTACAACAGATCATCACCAATTTTATTAGAACATTATGGAGAACATCAAGATGAAATTCAAGGTTGTCCTCAGTATAAAAATCAAGGCATGGCAGTAAGTTGGTGGAATATTGTAAATTTTTGTTTAAAAAGATCTTATACTTTCCTTTCAGATTGTTGTATTTTGAGATCCAGTAATGAGTACTAAAAGAATTTAATTGTACATGTATGTAAAATGTAATGATGAGATTAATTTATTTTTTGTTTGAAAAAAATATTTTTAAAATATGTATCATTTATGTTGTGTCCTTCACCAGAAAAGTTGATTGATACTTTTTTAAATCTCTCCTTAATGATGTTAGTTTGTCAAGCTAGATCCCTGTATACTATGTCCATCATTAATGCCTTATCATTCAGGTAAGAATCTAAAGAATTTGTAAATCTTGTTGTACCTATTTGTACCTATTACTATCTGTGTAAAGGACTGAATTTTTCAAACTAATTTATTTGTCTATTCATAAATTTTAGAGGAGTTTAAACCATTTGCTGTCTGTTTAACAGGGAGTGTAAGAAATGAATTCCAGCATTTATTGAGGGTTCTTGGTGGCTGAGTGGTCTAAGTAGTTCATTTTCTGTATCACTAGCCTGTGAACAGGTGGCAGGTGGGCTAGACTCCACTCTTTTATGACTAGGACTGTCAGTTTTCCTGTTGAATGTTGTGGTTCCCTCAGGGCACTCAAGTTTCCTCCACCAATAAAAACTGGCCATCATGCTATAGCCATTGCCAATAGTGCTTAAAGCGGCATTAGACACGAAACATGGAAAATTTGCTGAATTTGCTATTTCTGCACTCTACTTTACTTTGTCTCAACCAAATGTTATGAAATTTAAACACATTGCTTGTTTCCACAAAACATAGATCAAGTTTGAATTTTGGTGGCGTCACGTCACTGTTCCTTAGATATGTCCATTATAACTGGAAAAATTGTTGAATTTGCCATTTTCAAACTCTAACTTTACTTTGCCTCAACCAAATGTTATGAAACTTATACACAATGCGTATTACCACAAAACACGAACCAAGTTTGAATTTGGGTGGCATTACTTTCACTGAATTTGCTTTTTCTGCACTCTACTTTACTTTGTCTCAACCAAATGTTATGAAATTTAAACACATTGCTTGTTTCCACAAAACATAGATCCAGTTCGATTTTGGGTGGCGTCACTATGACCGTTCCTGAGTTATGTCCATTACAATTGGAAAAAAATTTGCCATTTCTGCAATCTAATTTTAATTTGCCTTAATCAAATGTTATGAAACATACACATACTCAGACCAAGTTTGAATTTGGGCGGCGTCACTTTTAGTGTTCTTGAGTTATGTCCCTTTATAAATGGAAAAATTGCTGAATTTGCTGTATATTTACTACCGGGTGCATCTGTTTCCTATGTTGTGTCCTATGGACACAATCTTGTTTTATTTTAATTTAATTTACTAGTGGATATTTTTTTTCCAGAACTGTGACAACCATTGTGTGTGTGAAGATAGCCATAACAACACATTTAGATGCTTTGTGACATGGGGTGAACCAAATATGGATAGACAAAAATTATGTTATGTGAAGGAGGATAATTCAGTAAGTTAGATTACAATTTTTACATATTTGAAAAGTGATCGATGGAACTGATAAATGCTAATTGATTTGATATTATTTTTTATCACATTGCTGCAAGGGTCATGATTAAATGCAATAGGGTGGCATATTAAAGTATGTCAATAAGTACCTGTTGTTGAAAAAAAATCTTTCTGATTCCAGAAAAATAAGAACCAATTTCTCATTACTGTGACTTGGTGATAGGTGTTGCTGTTTACCTTTACCTATTGTTCAACCAGATTGTAAAATTGACAATACAGTTGGGACATTCAAATTGACCAGTTGGTATTGTTAGAGTTTGAGTCTACCTTGATGATACCTGTACTGTTTTTTATTCACCTAACCCAGCCTTATAGCATGCTTTTTTCCTGAAGTTTTTCTTCATCTTAGGGTTATTCTATTATATAATTGATAGGGAAGAAAATGTTGTTGGTTTTCATTGTATTAAATCCCCAATATAGATGATTCATCTCATTTTGACCCCAAAATCTAAATCAGTGAAAAGTAAAATCACAAAAATACTGAACTCCGAGGAAAATTCAAAAAGAAAAGTCCCCAATCAAATGGCAAAATAAAAAAAAAAACAAACACATTTTGAATCTGTTCAAAATTTTGATTTTTCTACCCTATATACCACATTGCCTCACATTCTCATTAAGAAAAAATTCACACACCTAATTAAATGGGCATTTAAAAAGTCAGAATGTGAATATATATGTTCAAACTCTTTTAGGTCATTTTTTAGTAGCAATAAACAAAAAAACTATGTCAATTGGACATGCTTTGATACTATATATGCCCTTGAATTTTTACTAGATAACATTTTTGTTCGCTTTGGAGATTCCGTATATCATCAGGTTATCGGAATTCCAATGGGGACTAACTGTGCACCACTTATTGCGGACCTTTTTTTGTATTGCTATGAGTTACAATTTATGACAAAAATCAGCAAAGACCCATCGAAACAACATCTGATACACAAATTTAATAATACTTTTAGATATTTGGATGATATTTTGGCTCTCAATAATGACGACTTCAGTATGTATACTAAAGAAATTTATCCTGTTGAACTTACTTTAAATAAAGCTAATACTAACAATGACCACTGCCCTTTCCTCGATCTTGATATCTATATCATTAACGGAAAGCTTAATACTAAAATATATGATAAAAGAGATGATTTTTCATTTCCTATCGTTAATTATCCATTTTTAGATGGTGACGTTCCCTTGTCACCATCTTACGGTGTTTATATATCTCAACTTGTACGATTCGCTCGTGTATGTAACAATGTTTTAGATTTTAACGAGAGAAATTTATGTATTACTGAAAAATTATTACACCAGGGTTTTCGATATCACAAACTAGTCAAAACATTTACTAAATTTTATCATCGGTATAAGGACATCATTCGTAAATATAGCTCAACATGCAGACTTCTTATACGTTCAGGTATTTCACATCCAATTTTTTATGGAAATATTCTTTATAAAGCACAAAAATGTCAGTATTCACCTCTGAAGCTAACAAAACCTTTAAATAGACTTATTAAGAAGGGATATAGTTACGATACTGTTGTCAGGTCATTAAAGATTGCATATTTTGGCGTTAATATTGATTCACTTTTTGGGTCTTTGCATCGGCACTAAACACATTTATTTAAAAACCAGTTGTTGGCATGATACGGGTTATGTTCTTCTCATATATGTTATGATGGTATGATACTAAACCCCTAACGGGAAGGATTGTGCCTGATATTCATATGATGAAGACATAATCTTTCAATCAGTTTAATTGAAGTCTGGAGCTGGCATGTCAGTTAACTGCTAGTAGTCTGTTGTTATTTATGTATTATTGTCATTTTGTTTATTTTCTTTGGATACATCTTCTGACATCAGACTCGGACTTCTCTTGAACTGAATTTTAATGTGCGTATTGTTATGCATTTACTTTTCTACATTGGCTAGAGGTATAGGGGGAGGGTTGAGATCTCATAAACATGTTTAACCCCGCTGCATTTTTGCGCCTGTCCCAAGTCAGGAGCCTCTAGCCTTTGTCAGTCTTGTATTATTTTTAATTTTAGTTTCTTGTGTACAATTTGGAGTTTAGTATGGCGTTCATTATCACTGAACTAGTATATATATTTGTTTAGGGGCCAGCTGAAGGACGCCTCTGGGTGCGGGAATTTCTCGCTGCATTGAAGACCTGTTGGTGACCTTCTGCTGTTGTCTGTTCTATGGTCGGGTTGTTGTCTCTTTGACACATTCCCCATTTCCATTCTCAATTTTACATCAAACGAATGGATAACAACTGTCATATTCCTGACTTGGTACAGGCATTTTCTTATGTAGAAAATGGTGGATTGAACCTGGTTTTATAGCTAGCTAAACCTCTCACTTGTATGACAGTCGCATCAAATTCCATTACATTGACAACGATGCGTGAACAAAACAAACAGACACAATAGGTAAAAATGTCAAAAATATTTTCTTACTACATGTTAACATGTATGGAAATTAAAACTGTTTTTACATAAAAAATGAATCTTTAAATATTTAACCCTTATACACAATGTATATAGTATCGTCCAGTTGTCAATGAAACAAGAAATAGCTATTCACTACAGGTGTTTTCAGTTTAAGTTTATCTTTGATATAATTCAGATGGATATGTTATGCATTTCTTCATATATCCCTTCAAATTTTTCATTTTTGAGTATTATTCAGTGTTTGAAATCTAATGGAATCAATGTGCATACAAAATGGGATTTACTTCATTTGAATTCATTTCTTAGATGCCATTTAGTTTTGCTTCTTAAATGTGACTTATTTTTTTCAAGAATGGATTGTCATGAATGTATAAAGGAGGAAATAATTCATTCAAAATGTTTCGTGTGGCTTTCACATGATGATGTAAATGTAAAATTCGAAATAATTTTGGAGTATACCTTGCAGTGTTTATCATTGAAATCTAATAGGATTTTTGTGCATGAAAATACTGTGTTCACAGAAGGGAATTCACTTTTTCTAAGAGATCTTCAATGTTTTGAAACAACTTGCACTTGAGTACTGACCTCATATAAATTTGTCTTGATGTCAACATACCCCAAGTGAAGGTAATGAAATGCACTCAACAATCCTGATCAAGTATTGGGATGAAATAAGCATAAATGGATTGTAAAGAGCATTCCATTACTCTAAAAGAGAACTTCGGGTGGGTGGGGCGGGAAAAATGTCTTAGATATAAAGGTACTAGGCTACACTAATATCCAAATAACTTCCTTAGATAAGGTCCAATGGTCTATATCCTGTAGCAAAATTGAAAGTGAGGCTTGTAATCGTGCACAGTTACACTTCACTGAGGATGTCAACATACCCCAAGTGAAGGTAATGAAATGCACTCAACAATCCTGATCAAGTATTGGGATGAAATAAGCATAAATGGATAACAAGTGCTATTCAATAAAACAATTAAAGGAACTTAAATGAACATTAGTGGCCTTATACTGAATAAAGTATTCCCAAAACTTACTAGCTAAAAAATAAGAATAAAATTAGTACGGTACAAGGTGTGTTACGTCAAAGAGTTATCCATTATTCATAATTATAGAGATAAAACTTATCACTAGAAAATAATACATCTTTATTACAAAATTCTATATCTGTGAAGTAAATGAAACTAAAATCATACACATGTAAACTATAAAAATATATGTATATCATAAACAAACAAAATTTTTCAATAATAGGCGATTAACTCCCTTATGTCACAATGAGATAGACCATGCAATTAATTAAACGCGGGACTCAAATCGTCATATTGAGAATGGGATTCAAAAAATAACTGAGTAGCATTATTATTCTGATAGTTTATGGACTTTGCTAAATTACATGCAAAATGACTTGCATCTTTTACAGTGCTCGCCCTAGTATAATAATGAGCCATTCTTTCAGATTTCCAGCCTACATGGTTCATTACACCCTGTGAATTAGCATTGTCATCAGATAGAAGAATACGACACCTGATTTTCGAGCACTCTACCCGATTCTGTAATTATTCTAAATAAATAGCCAGTTTTCAGGGAAATTCTGTGATTTTTCATGAACGTATAATAAGATTCAAGCCCAGAAACAGGACACACAATTTTATTGTCACATCTTTTCAGAACAAATGTGTTACATATATTTGATCCGCCACGCAATGCTTTCCCAAATGTGTGATTAAAAACAAAACCACTATCATCATCCAATTTCTTAAATTCTTGTGATAAGACAATAGCTACATCACTCGCTCTATCACCTGCAAAAAACTGTAATTTCAAAAGAGCTTGATCTCTTTGCAAAACATTTTTCCCGCAAAGTAAGGTCAGATCTATTTAATTCCCTACCAATATAGACGGCTATGGAACGGACTTTGTTTATAAATATAGGTTTTGCTTGTTTTAGTACAATGTGGGCTCTAGCTTGTTCTTCCTGAACTGCTTTTAAATATGCTTTTACTGGTTCCGAAGCAGCTGGGTTGCCCACATTTAAAGCTGCATTCCAAGTTCTGCCTCTGCCGACGGATTCGAATATGTAAGTAAGATATGAAATTAGGTTCTCAACAGTTCCTGAAGCCAATCGAATAGGACAAAGACATCTTGTAACACCCTTTTTACCCAAATTGATGCACGATTTAACGTGAACTTTTGTTTTACCATTACTATCTTTCCAAACTAGAAACCTCTTAACATCGTGAGGAGAAACTGTATCAAGACATGGCTTATGAGTTAATATATATATCTAAAAAATCTAAAAAACTTTCTTGAAGAGATTCTTTTCTTCTACGATGGGATGAATTTATTTACTGGTTATGGAGATGCATAATTCTGTCATCAATTCTTTTCAGATCAACAACCACAACCTGAAATATTTCATTATGAAAATGATAACCTATACGCAACTAAAGTCCACATCAAACCTCTATTATCTAAGATGTAA